TTGTATGGTAATTCTTTTTATCAATTTCATAATTAACCTCAGATAATTTTTTGACAATTTGGTATGGTCCAGAATAGGGTGCTGTCAATTTACGTGTATTCGGAAATTCAAATTCGTCAAATAAAACTAGATCACCAGGTTGAAATTCTACATCTGCAAATTTTGTGTCATAACGACTTTTATTCCTTTTATGATATTCAATAGTTCTCTCTTTAGCTAATTTTCTCGCTATGTCAACCGGAGGGTAAGTATTTTGATCTAGGGGAGAATCGAAAGGAAGTTTTCCAAGTAAAAAATATGCAGGGGTGAATTTAGTTACCGAATGAGGAGAATTATTATATTCACTAATAACTTGATCCAAAATTTTCGTCCATGGAATTTTCGATGATCTAGAATTTACTTTACATCTTAAACGAGTTACTAGGGTTTGGTTCACACGCTCTGCTTTACCATTTGTCTGGGGGTGATGCGCAGTAGTTAGAAGTTGTTTTATATTATAATTTCTAAGAAATTTCTTGAATCTATTGCAGGTGAATGCGGCATTGCGGTCACTAAGGATTTTTTCGGGGACTTGAATTTGAAAAATTTGTTTCAAAATATTAGCATAAGTTTCTGTAGTTGCACTTTTAGATGGAAAAGCCCAGACATATCTTGTGGCATGATCGATCACAAGATGTAAATATTTTTTTGTAGAATTATAATAATTAAAACCGCCGACTGTATCAATAGAAAGACATTCAAAAGGTTTATCAGTTGGGGGTACTTCTTGCATAAGTCCAAATTTTTTGGTTTTTTTCTTTTTTATTAATTTGACAAACATTGGCAATGTTTCACGAAATTTCCAATATCTTTTACTAATGTAGGGCCAATAATATTGTGGGTGATTAAATTTAACATAGCATGAATACCTGGGTGTCCGAATTTTTCATGAGTTTCAGTTAATAATTTTAATCTTAAGGATTTTGGTACCACAATTTTATAACCTTTTTTTCTTCTTCAATTACCATCAAATCATTTAGTTCTACATATTTTTTATCACACACATTGTCACTTTTTTTGCTGTTGTATAATTTCATCCACGATTAAGTAAATACACAGAATGTTGGAGCTTGGTGAGAAACAGGTTGTCTAGAAAGCATTGTCAGCTTCAACGTTTGTAGAGCCTTTTTGATATTTAACTTCGTAATCAAACATACTGAGTCGGAGTGACCAACGGAATAATCTGCCTCTTAAATTCTTAACATTTTTAAGCCAAACAAGGGCTGCATGATCGGTATGGATTGTAAATTTTTGACCGTGAAGTTAGTAATAAAATTTATCTAATGCATCAACAATAGCTAAACATTCAAGTTCTGTAATTGCATAATTTTTTTCGTAAACTTTTAAAGCTCTAGAATGGTAAGGAAACTGGGTGTAATACATTACTTTCATCTGGCTGCTTCAAAACAGCTCCCACAGCAATCTGTGATGCATCAACAAAAACATGACAAGGTTTATTTGGATCATACAATTGTAAGACTGGTTTTGAAATAAGAATATTTTTCAGTTCGTCAAAAGCAGTTTGACATTGATCATCCCAATGCCATGGTACATCTTTTTTCAATAATTTATTTAGAGGAGATCTTAATTTAGCATAATTAGGTATGAATCTATGATAAACATTTACACTGCCTAACACTCTTTGTAGTTCTTTTACATTACTTGGATATTTCAAATTTTTAATACTTTCAATATTTTGGTTATCTGGGGTAACTTTACCCTTTCTAATTTCATAACCTAGAAAATTGATTTTATCTTTGGCAAAGACACATTTACTCTGGTTCAATTTAATACCTTCTTGAATAAATATTTCAAATAATTCACTCAAATGCTTTAGATGTTGTTCTTTGGAAGAAGAGTAAACAATTATGTCATCAAAATAACTACAAGCAAATTGGATTTTATTTTAGTGAGGATGCGTTTAATAACTCTGTTAAAGATAGCCGGTGCATTTTTGAAGCCAAAAGGGAGTCTTAGCCATCATAGAGTCCAAAATTTGTAATAAAAGCCAATTTTCGGTGTCATCAGGGTGAATAGGAATGTGCCAAAACCCTGATCTTAGATCTATTGTAGAAAAACATTTGCATTACTTAATTTGTCTAATAAAAAGTCTATCCGGGGCAGGGGATGAGCATCAGTCTTTGCTAAAGCATTCAAGTTACGATAATCAATACACATTCTGATTTTTTTGCCCTCATCGCGTTTTAATACTAAAGTTACTGGGGATGCATAAGAACTACTACTTTCTTTAATAATTCCATTTTTTAATAATTGATCAATTTGTCGTCTAATTTCTTCTTCTTCCTTAGAGGAAGTTCGATAAGGTCTTAAAGTGACAGGCAAATCAGAAGTCAAGTTAATTCGTTGTGGTTCAATGTTAATTTTACCTACATCATATTTATTTTTGGAAAACACATTCTTATATTTATTTAACAATTTAATTAATTCAGGGTTTTCTTCCTCCATACTCTCTGAATCTGTTGTTATTTCACTACTTTGTTTTTTTCACATCACTTTTTTGAATTTTTAGTTTTACATTACTTTCATTATTTACATTAACTCTTGTTACCTTAGACATCTTATCGTCATTAAACTTCATAATATTAGACTTATTACCTTCATTAACTATTATACCTTTAGACACATTATTTTCATTAGATATATTATTTTCATCAACACTTATTACCTCTACCTCAGAGATATTACTTCTAGGTTTTGTCTTAACTGATGGCATTACATTACTGTTTTCTTGAAGTACTTGATCAAGTTGTACATGCAAAGAAACTCTGTTATTTACATTCACAAGAATTTGAAATGTTTTCATTTCTTTGAGTTACCACTAAATTACTACAATCAATTTTTTATTCAAATAATTTTACATTCATTTAAATCCAAAAAAGAACATAATCTAAATTAGTATCTAACACTAACAAGTTAATTAGTTTTAATAATATTTTCCAATTTTCATTTGTAATCTACACATTTTATCAATAGAAAATTTCCTTTAGTTTGTCTAATTTTAATACCTTTTACCTTTTGAACTTTTAACTGTAAATTGTTTGCAGATTTTTCTGAGATGATAGACAATGTCGCGCCAGTGTCCACGACACAGTCGACTGATCTGCCAATGGGATAAAAATCCCTTAATTCTTAGTTGTCAAATTCCCGAAGAATCAGACCCCAAATTTTTGTTTTCCACATTAGAATTAGTTTCAGTTTCGTTGTTCTGATTTCGGAATGGGCTGATTTGAGCCCAGTAATAACAATTTGGTATCCCTTTTTTGGTACATATTCTACAAGTTGATGGGGCGATACCGTCAAATTTACTATTAGTATGGTGACTTACAACTTTCTTTCCGCTGTTGATATCGCTGTTAGATTTATTTCCAATTTGTTGAAAACTATGAGGTTTGTAATTAGATGCATTGGGTCGATTATCCACAAACTGACGATTATTATTTCGGAAATTAGCTTGTCTGAATTGTTGACTATTCCTATCTCTGTTATAATTTTGCGAATTTTCATCTTTACATTCATGAATTTGTCATCATTAATTCATGAATTTCATCTTTAAATTCATGAAGTTTGTGGGCTTGTTCTAGCCAAGTTATCGGATCAGCGGGACTTTGAACAATCATCAAAGACTTTAAGTTCGTTGGCAAACCATCTGTCAAACCTTCTAAAATCATTGATTTATCCAAATTAAGCCGCTTACCCACTTCAATTTTCTTTCGAAAGTAATTTGTGATGTCTTCTCTGGCGTTATATTTTAAATTAGCGAAGTCGCCGAAAGTAGTTAAGGTGGGATCGACACCTAAAGTTTTCTTTTCGAATATTTGTTCAAATTCTGAGTAAGTTTTTAGCTCATGGCAATTTTTAATATAGAGCCAGAGGGCTTTTCCCTTAATGTAACGAGAAATATTTTGAAGTTTCCAATTTTCGTCCTTATTCTGGCAGACTTTGTTAAAATAACCTAACCAAGAAATTATGTCACTGTCCTTAGAATCTTCAAATGGAATAATATTTAAATTTATTGTATCTTGATTCACGTTCAGTGAATCGTCAAGATTAACGGGTTCCTGATTTGTCGACATTGTAACTGAAACTTTAAAATTTTCTTGAGAACAAAAAATGTGCACTTTTCTCAAAATATTTTTACAATAGTTAATATATTTTTTTAAACCAAAAACTCTTCAGATTATTATCAACAATTCATAGAATAATAGACTTAAATAAAAATTTTGTATTCTCAAATTTTATGAATATCACTACACATTTCAAGATAATATCAAATCTTACTTAGAATACTATTAATTAGAATAAGACTTGAAATTTAAATAAACTCGTAATTACTTTAACATAATATATTTAAAACAAACTATTTAGTTCACACACTGAGAAAAAATAATTTCTTAAAATCTGTTCTTACTTGGCCGTTGAGTACACTATTAATGCCTGCTCGTTTGTGTGCTGTTTAAAAGAAAACAAAGCATAAAAAATTGAAATTCTTCAGCTTTTTTCCAGCAGACGATATCCAAATCATGCGGTTCTAACTATGAGACGCGCTCAAAATTCGAAGACAAAGCGGTATCACAATTCACAGTTCTGAATGAATCTAGGAATGAATGACTTCGAAAGATAAGAGCATCGCATATGTATCTTTCATGTTTTTCCTCAAAGAAAAGGGTGCGCGTTATGCGGCGAATGTACCTAAAATTTTATAAATGTAGTTTCAAATTACAGGTTCGCGTTATACACCGGACCATATAGCAGTACGAGGTACATATACGATGTAGTATAGCAATATAAAAAATAACTACAATTTACTTTAAATCCTTTTGTGGACAGAAAGCTGAATTGCATTCGAAGGTTGGATGGAAATGGGAAATTCCTTTCATATGTACTCAGCTAAATAATATTAATTAAATGTGTGTAAAAATAATGTTTTATTTTTCTTTCAGCTCTTATTTTGTTTAAATTTTACCAATGCAAGTCAAAAGTTTATTGTGTTTCCTGAGTAAGTATCTTCAAAAATTTTCTTTTTAAATTAATCTGTGTTTCTTATTTAATGAAATTTTAATTGAATTTTTAACGTTTCAAAAACATTATTGTTGTCATTTAATAATTTTATAAGAGTGAAACCTTATAAATAGAGGTTACAAACAATAGAATTAAGAACAAAAAGGCCGAAGTCATTGTCTAAAGGCAATATGGTATTTTGAAGCTTCGGGAAGCAGTCCACTTTGCTAAGTTATAAGCCAGAGCAGTAAATTTTCTTTCTAGTTTGATTATTTTCATTTCCTTGTACGAAGTAAAGGAAGTATTGTAATCGAGAAAAGTTTCGGGCATCATATTTCAAAGAAAATATCCATTTTCACCGCTTTCAAATCCATTTAAGCAGGTTTTTTCGCGACATCTCTACGTACGGATAGAATAAAGGACTCTTTTTTTTTTTTCTTTTTCTTTTTCCAAAACGGATTGTTGGTAGTTTGGGCATTTTTTTGCTCTAACCCATATAACCCGCTGTTCTATATATAGGACGGCCCAATTAAATTTCATTACATGGAAAACAAAGGTAAATAAATACATAAACTTTGTCATAACTCCCTTGAAATAGACGTAAGATTTCAAAATCAAGTTAAAATATGGTCTGTCATAATTAATTTCATTAAAAATTAACCCTTTAAACTAATTTATTTTTGAGCCGTGATTTAGGATTAAAATCTACTCTTTAGATTAATTCTAAACAGATGTATACATTTCTGCTAGTAGATTTACAGTACTATTTACAGAAATAAAAATATCCATGAAAAAAATTATCCTTTTAAGGTATTTTGTTTGCATTTTATATGTGTCCTGTAAATAGGACAACGGTCCGATCCCCAACTTCTTTTCGCTCCTCGCTTCCCCCTCCCCCAGTTCATCGATCACATTCCTTCAAACCAAATTTGAGCAATAGCTAATCATACAATGACATTAACGTGACATATGGAAGGATTCGGGAATAGATTATTCTATAATTTTCTTCGGATATCTTTATTATTAAATTACAAAAGCAAAATGTCACACAACCTCCTAAATAGATTTTTCTGAGTAAAACAATGTTCATCTATGTGATGTTTCCTTGGCAATAGGAGGTATACTTTAGTATAAAATAGATAAACCATTCTAAATAGAAATTAGTCTGGAAAGTTTCTTTTTGTCCCTAGATTGTATAGGTTCTCCTGCGGGCATTCAAAGCAATGCCATCAGATGAAACCTTTCCATAGCATGCGCTTTAGGAAGAAATAATCGGCAGTATTTTTTTTTTTTTTTTCCTTCTAAAGTAGATCAGTTACTTGAGCAAATATTTCAGATGTTTTTGAAAAATCGATATTTTTAAAATGGGGGAAAAAATTAACAGCTGTAGAGGCTCTTGAATCTATGAATTCTCTCTCTGATGAAGAAATGGACGAGCCTGAAATGGTTATTATTCCACCTGAACCTGATTCAGTTAGTCAGAACAGATACACGATTCTGCTACAAACAGTAACATATCAGTCATCTGAAACAGAAGATACCGCAGGAACTATAGAAATTTTACCAAAAAAACTCTGAAGAGACTAACTTTGATTTAAAAGTGAAAAAAATATGAATCCCAATTCATGCCTTCACCAAGCTGTATTTCTTTTCAAGACCATCTAAATGTGGTCACAGAAAAACCTCCATTTGAACATTTTCACATGATGGCTGAAGACATCATATCACATATAGTTGTAAAGACTAACCGGTATGCAAAACAAGAAATAATTGCTCTTTTAGTGTCACTGAAAGTAAAAAAATCCGGAAATTTATCTAAAATGCTCAGCTAGCACAAAATCGAACTATACAAAGAATACAATAAGAATAACGTTACCAAGTGCTTAAGAAAATTAGTTCTCATTTGAAATATGCTTTCTGCTATTAACTTCTAAAATGCCACAAGGAAATAATTCAAATCAAAACTTATTATATTTAAATATAAATGATATAAATGCTTACTTGCACCCGGAACTACTCTTATACACGCCCTCGTTTGGTGACAAATTTCTCGCCAAACATATTTGGCGAGAAACTCCACCGTGCCATATTACTATCTAAATTTTTTGTCTACATTTCGAACTTTAAGCCTAAAATGTCTCCAAAAACACGGTTTTCGCACATGCAAAAACCACGTTTTGAACACGCAATTTAAGCTAAAAATCCAAAACAAAAGATAGCAAAAACGTAAAGCTTCTAACCAAAAACAGACAAGAATCCATGTAGACAGCGATATGTTTTGACTTTAAAAAAGTCACAGAATTGCGCAATCTATGGCAGCAAACAGGAATCTACGAACTACGCAGACCTAGCTTAAATAAATTAACATAACAACAATAAAATATACACAGCGTTCTGTTTAAACTTCAAAAACATCTACGAATTGCATAGTCTAGGCAGCGAAGGAATCTACAAACTAAGCGCACCTCGCTTTAATAAATTAACATAACAACAGTAAATGGTAAAAGTATATTTTAGGATACCCCTTGGCGACACTTGGCGATTTTTGGCGGTACATGGATAACGAATTTGTGCAATTCTTTGACTTATTATTTTGGCTTGCATATCCATGTACACGTCGACCTATTTTCACTTAAAAAAAAATCCAAGAATTGCACAAACTTGCATTGCGCACTCCCTTCACTTTGTCCATGTACACATCGATATATTTTCACTTAAAAAGTCAAAGGAGCACCCAATTCTACAATACAGGCAAACAAAAAATACATAATCTCAATAAACTACATTTTAAACCAAACAATAAAATAACATAAAAAGGAAAAACATGTTATACATTTAAGCACTACAAAAAGCAAATATCCACTTACCCTATTTAGAAGTTCCTTCGTCTTTATTCTGTGGCACACAAAATTCCTCAACAGTATCCCAAAACTTCCTAAAATTATCTGAACTCGAATCCGTATATCGGCGTCGCCACATCTGAATCTTTCTTCCTATAAACCCACTCAAATCCATCTAAACGGTTTTTACGTTCGACTAGACGCATATCCTTCCTACATACAGGACACTATAATGCCTACTAAATAAACCTACATTTACACACCAGTCAATTAACGCTCTTTCCCCTTTCCTTCCAAATCGTACAAAAACTTTAAATTAATCTTACTACACTTAGCCATTCTACCGTCTAAACAATAAAACCAACACACACCACAAAAGCGCTTACAAAACATCCCATGATTCAAAACTTCCCAGAATCATGCACCCGATTACGTCACAATAGGGTATCCATGACATTCAACTACTCAGGCTACCATAAATGAAACAACAACTTGGCGATAAATGAAACAACAACTTCGCCATAATACAAGGGGTACCTTAATGTCTATTCTAACCCAGTAAATTTTAAGAATACCATGTACACAGCGTTCTGTTTAAACTTTAAAAAACATCTACGAATTGCACAATCTAGGCATTGCGCACTAATCAACAAAATAAACTAAAATAACTAAGATAAATTTCAAACAATTAAAAAAAACAATAACAACAGAAATTCATACTAAAAAATCAATGAACATAACATTCTACAAAATAAGAACAAGAAAGAAATAAAATGCAGTTACCATGAATGAATGCTTCTTCGAACAGCAGAAATGCCAATTTCAAACATCACCAAAACAATTTCACCACAAATTTATTAAAAGCATCTTCTCTCGTTCCAAAACAACGATGGAAAAATATATAAACCACCAAATTTTGCCAATACGTCTTTCATTGCATAATAAATCACGTAAAAAGTGTTGCTATAGAAACCAACATCGCCCCCAAAACCATCGCAGAGCGCGAAATTGCGCCAAAAACCAGCGCGCAACACATATCGCCGCATTTGGCGACCTGAGAGCGCATATAAGAATAGTACCAAGTGCAATAATAAAAGTTCGCATTCTGCAAAATAGACGAATTGCATCTCTATTAACTTCAGGATAATGTTTCTCCACTTTAGTAGTTAGAGTCAATTACATCCTTCCCTTTATAGTAAGCTGTATCATGAATTGCACAAAATATTTAAATATATTTTCGAACGCGTAAACTACGTTCATCCTTGAATGAGAAGGTGCAGCCAAGCCTCCTAAGAACAATAATTTAATCCATTCTGAATGAAATATTGTTTGATCAGTACTGTTGTGTGGGTACGGGTTCGTAATAAATTGAATGCACAAGTCTGATGAAAAGTTAATAAAATTTATTCTTATCACAAGAAATAAAACAAAAATGCTAAAATATGTCCTCACAGATATTCGTACAATACCACAATATCACACAATAGTTATATTTTAAACTACTAAAACGTTAACTAGAACACAATTCAAAGCGAAGAAAAAGCTTATCCGATCTCACCGCGAATTCGCTACTGTCAACAACAAATAAGTAAACAACTGAACTGAGATGTTTTTCTCCGGCTTTTTAATCGTGCACGAGGACATTCTGGTAATATTACTTTTCTCAAGGTTGGAAAGCAATAGAGTAGAATTACAGTTACAGCTAACATACAATTGCATTTATTCAATTTAATATCAATTACGGTGATAACTATTTATTAAATGCGCGTGTTCCTGTATTTTTACTTTTTCGGCGTAGCTTTACCTTAATACTCGTCATGCGCTGCATTGCACGGGGAAATAAAACAAATTTTAATTACAAATTTACTAAAAATAGACAACTAAATACAAAATCCATAACAGTACTATTTTTAGATATTGTTCCCAATGATGGGTCTCCCATCTTTCCTTCATGAGAGCAAGAACATCACTCTGAATTCCTGGACTACACAAAAATTTAGCGCACCATCTGTTTAATTCGCCTTTTTTTCCTTCAAAAAATCATAGCTTTTAGATGACAGAGCTCTTATGACAGTGCCAACATGAAATATCTTCACTAATCCACCTGATTTGTTCCATCTTTCCTAGCAATGCATTATTTTGCGTCTTTGTAAAAATATGCTTTAGACGTTTTTTTTTTTTTTTTTCCGATCTGTGCCGCTTTTTTTTTTTTTTTTTTTCTTCTAAATTTCGCTTTTGAGATTTTAATTTTAGAATTTCTGATAAAAATTTCTTTCTAGATGTCATCCACCTTCTTTGTCTCTGAGCAAATATCATAAAATTTTTCTTTTCTCTATTTTTCAATATTTTAATATAATTTTCTTAGGCTATAAGGTATTTTTCCCGCCTTCTTAGTGCGGTGGTCTGCACGCTGAGCGCGTATTCCAGAGGTCCGCGGTTCGATTCCCGGAGAAGGCGTTGCTAATTTTTCAGCTTGCCTGCTTCCAAAAATACCTAATGTCTCTACAAGGCTACTATTTTTTTCCTTCAAATTACCAATACATTCTCGTTTATCTTTACAATTAGGGCATTCAGGGATATTTACATGGCCACTTATGTCTTCCTTTGGTATTTCTATAAGTGTTACGGCACGTTGCTACAGCAAAAGGAGCCATATGGCATAAATGATGCTTTGCAACATAGAATTTAAAACTAAAACTGACTAAAATTATATATATACAAATTATTTTAAATATTTGCATTATTAGAAAACAAATGTATAGCATTAAATTTAATTTGGAATACGCGACCTGCAGAAAATCGCCTCGCAGCTGAATGGAACTGCAGTTTTAAACGAGCGAAATCAGAGCCGATGCAACACAGTGACGTCAGATTACTTCCGGTTAACTTCCTCTATGAGGCTCGCGTTGGCGAGGTCTCGCTGAAAGGAATTAACTAGCCCCTTTCCATTTAACCCTGCTGACTGACTGTAGAGCCAGACGATCTTGTCACTCGCATCGCAAGCAGTCCCGCATGCGCACGGAGCTTTGACTTCAACAAAATGAGGCGTTACTATGCGTATACCCGTTCTTAAATCTTTATTTATTTATTTTTAGAGTGCGTTTCCTAATGTGCTCTTTCATCTATCTAATAATGCATTTAGATTGATTGTAACGTTTGTAGTTTCCAAAATATAAGCTTTCGCGTACATATCAAACAGAGTTTTAATTTTTGCTTTCCCATCAGACCATTATGAAGAAACATAATCCTACGCTAAAAAAAAAACAAAAAACTGAAATGTTTCAGATTTTAAATTACGCCCGAACAGGCGTTTTTTTAACATTTTGTGTGTTATCTTTCTTTATTAAATATCATGCTCTTCGCACTTAAGCCATAAAATCCAGTTCAACAGCAATATCGCAAAATAGTTTTTAAAATGAGCATAACTTTAGAATTTTCATGCAAAAACTCACGCGCTGGAGATAAATATTTTTTCTGCACAACGTTGCCATTGCTCGCTTTGGAATCCTTGAGTTTGTTAATAAAAAATTCGTTAAAGTTTTACAAAATAGGAAATCAATATTAAAACAAATTCCAAATTTCAAATTTCGCCTTCCACATGCCCCATATTCGTTGGAGGATTACGTCATTCAAAATTCGATGGCTCTATGTAACGTTATTTTATCACAATGCGAGAAATATACATACATTTATGCAGAATTTTCATTATTTAATTTCTTAAAATATAATGCAGGACACTTAACATTTTGTGGCAACAGTTTGAAAACTGAACCGACATTTATAGGAGTCCGACACAAAATGCCAAAACGAAAGTAATAGTCCTTCGGGACTTAAATCCCTTTGGACTAAAAAAAAAAAAAAAAAAAAAAAAAAAAAAAGAAAAGAAAAAAGAAAAGAAAAGAAAGAAAGAAAAATTCCCACTCCGTCAGCTGCTTTCAGATTATGCATTCGACTCGCATGCAATTTTGAGTCTTGAAACGACCAACATAAGGGCCCTTCACTATTTCATTTACATTTCTGCGAGTTGTTGTCGTACAAGTCCTAGCAGCCCATAATGCTGTTAAGACGGTGCTAACCACCAGCTTAAATTATTCAATCCCCTTCACGAAACCTTTTGTATAATATGAATTGCATTTGTCGTTTTAAGTTTTATTTATTTATTTTTGTCTTTTAACTACGTAATGAAGTAAAATACATAAAAATAGGTTTTGAATATTAATGTCACACGGCTTTAGCAGTTTGGGTTTAAAAGGCCTATAACAGTTTTCTGGTGAAAATACGTAACCTGTTTATTTTTAGTTGGTCTATTACTTCTTAAATATTTCTTATGTTTCAGTTTCATGCATGTGTTCAAGCACCATATTTTGTAAGGTAAGAGCATTTTTCCTTTTTACATTATCCATATAAATGTTTTAATTCTTGTATTTTCCGAAGAAGTTCTATTTTTTGTATTATAAAGACGAATTTTTTTGTTTATATATAGGAATTGTTATTATCATTATTTTGTCTTATATACAAGAATTTTTGTGCTTTAAATTTACAAGACTATTTTCTTTTATATATTATCAACAAAAAGTATTTACTCTTTTCAGTATCTGAAAGGATTTTTTTTTTTTTTTTTTTAACTTTTTGTGCTCTGTCCCCTCTTTTTGTATTATTTACCAAGAATTTAAAATTTGTATTGCCTACGCTAAATTTTCCTTTTTGTTTCATAAATTTTCTCTTTAAGCATTATATACAGGAATTTTTTTTACCTTTTGCCTTATCTACACAATTTCTTCTTTTCTGTGTAACCTGCTGAAATTTTTTTCGGTCTTGTGTTACTTAAAATGTTTTTTTTTTTTTTTTTTTGAGGATTTTTTAGGTATGATTTTTTCGTTTTTGTATTATTCAGAGTCAGTTTTTATTTGTTTCATTATCTATGAAATATTTTTCACTTTTATGCACACACAAAAAAAAAGTATTTTTTCTTTTTGGGTATTATGTACAGGAAGGTTTTTTTTTTTTTCTTTCCAATATTACCTTCACGAAATATTTGCTTTTTGCATATTTTCCAAAACTTTTTATTCACATAATCTACACGAATTTTTCTTTTTCGTATAATTGTTTTCCATCATTACTTATGACTTCTGAGAAGTTTTCCTTTTTGTATAACTTGTAGGAAATTTTGTTTTTTTACTCCTCAACATCCAATAATTTTTTATTTTTATATTACCTGCAAGATTTTCTTTTTCTTTCTTTCTGCCCCCCCCAATAATCTATAAAAATATTTTTCTTTTTACATAAACTATTAGAATTTCCTACATTTTGCATCATCTACAAGATTATTTTTCTTAATTTTTTTAGGCATTCTGCGTGAAATTTTTTCTGTTTGGATTTCTAAATGATTTTTTTTTCTTTCTAAATTATGCACATAAATATTTAATATTTCGAATCATGGCGAAATTTCTGCTTTTCTTATTACCTGTAGAATTTCTCTTCATTCCAGGGTGATGGCAGAACTCAGAACTGGATGCCAGACACTCAAAACTGGCCTCAAAAAGGTCAAACAAAAGGGGCCCCTCTAGGAGGTTGGGACGACGAAGTGGCCAATCCATGGAAAGGGGGTGCAGACAGTGGATGGAGACTGGAGGACACAATTCCGGGAGTGCCAGGGCAGAGTTATCCCAACTTCGACAAGATTCCGGAAACTAGTTTTGACTGCAGGGACCAACAAGGACCCGGTTACTACGGAGATGTCGAATCACACTGTCAGGTAAACCCCTCATGTCAACTTTCTTGTATTATTTATTGTGACCAGCTTGTCTCTACATGTCATGACCACATATAAAATAAAAAGTAATGCATTAAGTGCGAAAACTAAAGCGTGTTTAAAAAATGGGACAAACTTTAAGAATTAATATAGTACACTGGAACAATCATTCTTGAACACAGAATGCATGGTTGAAAAACATAAAAACAGATGCCAAGAAGTTGAGGCTCAAACACGAGAAGCAGCTGCAGCGCTCACGAGATGTTTTCGCAAAAAGAAATCAAGACATAGAAGATCGCTGATCGTGGAAACTTAAGCATGGGATTACCGTGTCAGACCAACAACCCGGAAAGGCGGCATCCTGGTATAGCTTATCGCTAATTGTGAAAAACAAAGTATGGGAATCCCGCTTCAGTCCATCAGCCCGGAAAGGTGACATCCAGACAGTTACTTACATGCTGACAAAAACTGAACTAGTGCTTAATCGTGCTGGAGCATCCTCCAGCAAGTCTGGCAAGATCTCTTTTGAAGAAATACAATAATTTCTACCCATCGGGAAAGAAAGTACATACCAACTTTCTTGCTAATCGTGCATTAATCCTTTGCGGCTTGTCGCCTCAGAAGCTGAAGCAAACAAACGCACTCTAGCGCCTTGATCCATTTAATTTTAGGCAATGCATTCTGAGACAAAATTGCCCTACCAGTGACAATGTGGTTAACACTGCTGAATGCTAGAAATTCTACTTGCCATCGATCCTAAGCGAACGGGCTGGCAACGTGTTTGGTTTTCATGGTTTTTCTCATGTGTAACGGCCTACCAGCGGCCAAGCGGTAAAGTCGCTGAACACTGGTAATTCGGTCCGAAGTTCGAATCCCGCGAACGGGCTGGCTGCATGGGTGTTTTCGTGGTTTTCCCCATGTGTAACGTGCATACGACCCAGTTTCCCTTAGAAAGTCCTCCACGAAGGCATCCCTTTCCTTAGGGAGATAGCCCTAGTGTGCTTTGCCATAACTAAATACACCGCACCACCACACACCTCGTGTGTAACGTGAATACAAGTCTGTTTTCGTTAGGAAATATTCCACGAAGGCATCTCTTCCCTTCGGCAGGCACCTCTCATGTGTTTTACTATATTCCAATAACCTAACCTCATTTTTGACAAAAATAACGATCATTTCAGTGTGTTTTACACCTTTAAAAGTTTGTTCTAGATATTGAACATTCTATATAAAAGCTTTATTCAATCGTTCTATTAAGAATGTAGATAGAAAAGAAATTTTTCAGACATCGCATGATTCAAAGTGATCGTAAATCGAGACAGAGCAGATCGCCTCATACTGTTAGAAAATTGCAAATATTTGTTTGCTTTTATCTCAAGCTCTGGTAAATTAGTCTACATTTGTTCCACTGTGTATACATATCATATTTCTTGCATCAGTTCAAATTTCTCAATAATTATTGTCAGAGTCGTAGCTAGGGTTTTCAGCGCCCAGGGACAACTGAAGATTTCGCGCCCCCTACTGCTTGCCAAGGATGGAAAACATTTAATTCTAAAATGTCGTAACATCAGTTTGGCGCCCCTTGGATTCTGCGCCCGGGGACAGATGCCCCCTCTAGCTACGCCCCTGATTATTGTATATTTATGCGCAATACTCAGATAAAAGTATACTTTTGTATAGATGTAAGTACTTAATCTCTTAATACATATAATACTGCGTCTACATCCGTTGGAATCTTAAAAATGGTTCCAGCAGATCTAAAGATATCATCTGTTGAAATTCGCCAGAGTTAATGCTAAAATTCATGTCCAGGCTGGCAAACATTTGAAAGAACACAACGTTCAAAATCGAGTGATGATTGATATTAAACATAAAAATACTCCAAAATATGTAAATTAGTCTCTTTCAGACGTATCTAGATATTTATTTTGGAAGGTTTGGCCTTCGAAATACATTAATTTCGCATATATTATCACTACTCTACTGAGTTTCATCCTTTTAAATGATTTTTCATCAAAATATTTTCCTTTTGAGGAAGAGAGACCCAGGTTAGATTCTTTCGAAATGTTTATAATGGAAAATAACTCTAAATAATCTAAAATAAACGCTATTGAAAAGTCGAATTTTCCCCTAATTTTAAATATATTTTTCTGCGTTTCTTTCTGAGCAATCAATTTTAATGTTAAATAATGTTTTCAAATAAAAAACAAAAGCAAACAAAAAAATTATGTGCAGTGGTGTTTAACATACACTCTTTTCATCAGGTCTTCCACATTTGCCAGGCAGGAGGTCGCCAGAACACATTTCTTTGCCCAGTCGGAACTCTCTTCAATCAGGAGATGTTTGTGTGTGATTGGTGGTTCAACGTGAACTGCGCAGAAACTTCCATGCATTACGGTAGAAACACCAATCTTTTCAGATCCCCACAGATTGGAATAGATGGCTCAAAAATAGCAGTATCTCGAATGCAAATCAGTTCTAAAGGATCTGCTAATCCACCAAAAGTTGGCATTCCAACTTGGGATTCCCAAAGCAAAGCAGGTGGTAACTGGGATGGCAGATCTCAAAGTCCTCAACAGCATGGAACTAGCAAAGGAAGCAATTGGTCGCAAAGTCCTCAACAGAGTACAGGACAACAACAAGGAATAAGGAAAGGAGGTAGTTGGCCACAAAGCCATCAACAAAGAATGAGGCAACAACAAGGAACTGGCAAAGGAAGTGGCTGGCAAAAAATGCCAAGACAACAGCAAGCTACTGGCAAAAGCTGGCCACAAAGTTCTGGGCAACAACAAGGAGTTCAGAAAGGAGCTGGCTGGTCTCAAGGAGGAAACAGAAGAATTGCTGGCCAGAAGACAACTCCACCAAGAAAGGCATCTTTAAAAGGAGATATGTGGCAAGGCGGGAGCCAAGCACCTTTACCCAATTCTGGGTGGGGCAACAGAATGCCAAAAAAAGGCAATACTATTAAAAGCCAAAAAGGAATTGCTAGCAGTCAAGGACTTCACGGAACATTACGTACGTCTACCAATCAAGGGTTCAAAGAACATAACAGAAATCCAGGACAACAACAACGGTCAAACATTAGATCTGGAACCTTCGGATCTAGTAATAAGGGACAGGTGAATTCACTCCAACGAACTGCATCAAGTGCAGCCTTTAAAGCCAACAGTTGGAGCATCGGATCAGAAAATTTCCAGAATCCAAACAGAGATGGTTGGTTTCACCAGTCGCCCAATATAGCTTTCCAAGACGCCAGAGGACCCGACAGTAAGCTATGGCAAGATGATGGCGCACACTTTTCTGGAGACATTCAAAGAGGACCTGATTTTAAAGGAGGCAATCCGAATACCAACGGAAGATATGCTTCAGCTGAAGCCATAGGAAATTTTGTGGAATATTCAGCGAATGAACCAAACGCGTTGAATAACTTTGGCGAAGAAGACTATGGCCAAAGAAGACAAAATTTGCTGCCTGATAGCGAAGAAACGTGGAAAGGAGACACACTTCATAATTCTAATTACGATTATGATTATGGATGGAATGGTTAAATAACTTTCCACTCAAAATATTTATCTCAAAGTAACTTTTAAGACAAATACGTGAAAAGAATATAGGACCTCCATAATCGTTAGTCATCTGTCATACTGGCTCGAGTACATGACGATGTTTTTTCTCGCGAAAGCATTTCTGGGAACTATATCCGTGTTTATATGTGCAGCCAAACGTTTGAAAAATGCATCTATATATCCAACTACGTTCTGATCGTCAATTTTGAAGAATTTGAAACAAAAAAAAAAAAAAAAAAAAATACGGTTATTTTAATTTTAAAGCTTATGCATTAAACTTCACAAAGCTACTTTTATTCACCGGCTGTTAGAAGAAAAATAATGACTGTTCTTCTTCTAAGCCGTGAATCGGAATTTCCTGTTTAAGAACCACGAAGTTGGTGTCTGAAGGTATACAGACTACTCTAAATAACTTTAAAATGAGAATTTTTCATTTGAATACTTTTGGTGATGTTCAAAAGATGAGTTTGAACCTTCCTATTTGCTATTAAGTTATCGGGAACAAGATTAGTTTTGCAGTTAAATTTTCATGCTTGGCAACATTTTCTACCCCTTCTGTTTGCTTTGTCTTCCATTAAAAGTACTTTTTGAAAAACTTGATTTTTTTTTCAGCTTTATTGTTACAAAGAAAACTTTAACTTAAAATATTACTGTAGTAATTTCATGAAGTATTGTGAATTAAATGGGCTCAAACTTTAGGTTTAGGTACAGATCTAAATTTTTTTTCAGATAACTTTGTAAATGAAAAGAGAGAAATTTTTCAAAAAATAGCTAACGCATATACTTAAACAGATATATATATTTAATCACTTAGATTTTAGTCTAATTAATTTCTTACACCTTAATAAGTGACAAAAATAAAAGTAAAATGTTGATAAATATTTTTGTTGCAACATACCTAATTATCCTGAAATTTAACACGTTTTTAATACAAAATGCACGAAAAAAACTAAAACTGTACCTTGATAATATATCTATCAGTTGTTTCTATCATTTTAAGCAGTACTCTGCTTAATAACACCAATAATGAATTTATTTTGACTTTCCAAAAATTTGGGTGTGGAATGTAGTCGGATATAATATGCATAATCAATGCTTATTATGACGATCTCTCGCATCTTAAACAAAAAGGACGTTATAAAAAGTTAATACCAGAATTGATTTAGTCAGAAACTTTTCTCAACGGTCCTTATAATAGAATGGTCGTTATAATGAGCGGCCATTACAGAAAGCGCTAATTTTATTTTTATTTATCTCATAATTAAATGCTTAAATTACCTATAACATAAAAAATGCATACCGTTTTACAACTATTACAATAATGTAGTTATAATGCAGTTAGTTATGATTATACTTATAATCATAAAATTGACACTTATTGCTAATTATTTTGTTATTAATAAGAATACTATTTTAGCCATTACTAATTACCATAACTATTACATACAATATTACTAATTAAATTAATTATCATTAATATTATGGTTAACTATTATGCTAACTATATAACAGTAACATGAAAATATGATAATTACTATAAATATTATTAACATAGTTGTAATCAGTATAAGTATTATAGTAACCATTTTATTACCAGAATATTCATAATAATATAGCATCAAAAGAATAAAGTAAAATTTAATTTTAAATAATTCCTTTGCGCCATTGCTGCAAGGAATGAAATTTGAATTTAACAAACATTCTCTTTTCATAAAAAGCAAATTTAAAGTTAATAAATTTAAATGAAATTCAATGCGAACAAATAAATGATTAATTATTGCGAACTAATCCTACAATATCATTTAAATTCTGAGAGCATATGTAAATCAAGTGCAAGTATCAAATTTCATGAATAAATATAAATATAAAATTAAAATTCCAAAAATTATTTAATCATATAAAATTTTATTTATAAAAATGCATAAGTGAATGATTGTTGAGCAGGCAGGAGACACACTTATCAAGGGGAAGTTGCCTCCAAACCTAACTCTTCAGTCATTCAATTCGTGTTTCGTCTTCCATGTAGGAAAGGGTAAAAGTCAAAGCCAAAAGTAATACCAAATGTGGTGAATTACTAAAAAGAAATTTAAACAAGAATTAAAATTAAAAAAATAAGAGTAGAAAACCAAATTTTTAGAAAACACATTTTTAGAAGTAGTTTAGATACTCTTGCCTACAGAAACTTCCCTTACACGAATTATGCATATAAATCAAAACGAAACTAGACATTATCTATAAAAAAACAATACAAAAACAATACATAAATTATACGTAAATAATACTAAAAAGGCAAGTAAATAGTAATTTTAAATTTAACTTATCAACTATATTTGTTTTTGGGGAGTGGAGATGCACTGCCAAACTTAGTGATGCTAAGAAGTGTGTTTTGCAAACTTTAAATAGAGGGCGCTAATTTAAGGTGAAATTGAGTGTAAAGCTGCTATCTGTGATCAATTTAAAAAAAAAAAAAAATATTCTGTAAATTTTTAAGTAATGTAAAATGTGTGTACTGTTGTAAAAATGTGTAAAAAAAAATTGTAAAATGCAAAATGTAAAGTCATGTGAAAAAATGTTGCAAACTATAAAGGAATGTAAAATATTAAGTATGTAAAAATTTGAAAATGTTTTTGAAAAAAATTACAAAATAAAATTATTATGAAGTAAAATTTTAATTTATATTTTTAAAATTTTTTAAAATGTTTATATTAAAAAGAAAGAAATTTATTGTAAAATTCTAAATTTATTAAAACTGGATTTCAACTGGTTTAATCAAAATTTTACTAAATACTGGATGCTCTCAGAATTTAAATGATATTGTAGATTAGTTTGCAATAATTAATCATTTATTTGTTTGCATCAAATTTAATTTGAATTTATTAACTTTAAATTTGCTTTTTACGAATAGAGAATGTTTGTTAAATTCATAATAATTTAGCAGATATAAATAATATAACGAATAAAAAAGCGGAAAGGATTCAAATTTTAACATTGCACCATAGAGCTTCTTAAAGTTTTTTATCCCCTTGCCAAGTTCGCAGTTTACCAGTCTGTTTACACTCACTTCTGCTGACATAACAATTTTGGTCCTTTACTTTAGTATTAAACATCACTCTCCTCCAATTACATTGTATAAAATTAACAGAAAAATCATAAAAATCTTGCCACACTTTTTCTATATTCGTTACATTCCCTATTAGATGAAAAGTGATATGGAAACGAAAGTCACGGTTCAGACTAATAGAACCTCTGCTAATAATTACAATACCATTAATTATTATTGTTAATTATGATTATATTATTAGTAATATAACCATATAATTAACAATTACAATATAATTATAATTGTCATAACGACAGTCCATAATACTACAGATTAGTTACAATAAATATTATATGCATTATAATCACATAATTACATATAATTATTTTTGCTATTAATTATTATACCTATTATATAAATTAACTATAAGAAACACTACATGTAATATTATTATATCTACTGTTGTAATTGTAATGTGAAAAAAGCATGATTCTAATAATAAAGTTCAAATGTGGAACAATCTCCCTACTTTACAAAATCTAGTTATTTTACCCTAAGCCATTCATTATCTTTTTTGTACTAATTTAACATAAGTTTGTTTGCATAACATTGTCTATTAAGAAAGTTCTTTTTTCCTTCGTAAAACAACTTCAAAAACTCCCAGCCATAATATATTGAGGCCAGTAAAGTATTTTATGAGATAATTTTTATGCAAAAAATGATTTGATATCATGCATAAAAATTAGGCAAAGAAAAAGAAAAATCCGTGTGGCGTAGATTTTAGTCAAAAATCTATGATTTCGATTGCAGATTTTATTTATGATGATTTGATTTATGTTAATGATGATTTTGATTTATGTTAATGAATTTATGTTTGCTCCTGTTGAAGAGGGACCTGTACCTGTTTGCCCTCAAAATCGATAGTCTTGAAAAATCTAGTTATTTTACCCTAAGCCATTCATTATCTTTTTTGTACTAATTTAACATAAGTTTGTTTGCATAACATTGTCTATTAAGAAAGTTCTTTTTTCCTTCATAAAACAACTTCAAAAACTCCCAGCCATAATATATTGAGGCCAGTAAAGTATTTTATGAGATAATTTTTATGCAAAAAATGAGTTTGATATCATGCATAAAATTAGGCAAAGAAAAATCCGTGTGGCGTAGATTTTAGTCAAAAATCTATAGATTTCGATTGCAGATTTCTTTGCTCCTGTTGAAGAGGGACCTGTACCTGTTTGCCCTCAAAATCGATAGTCTTGATCTATGCCAAAAAAAAAGGTTGATGCTTTGCCTAATTTTATGCTTAGCTTTGGCATGTTTATCTTCTCTTTTGATGTCAAGTTCATTTTCTTCTTTAAGTAAAAATATATATCAGGGAAAAATCATCATTATTTGCTTCAAGACACATACAGTATATCAAACAAATGATATTGCTCATTATATACATGCATGAATGACAAATATTTGTTCCTTATTTTCCATAAAATGAATATATGTATATGTTTCATATAATGAATTTATGTTATTTTCCATTCATGAAACATATATTCATGAATGGAATGGAAATGAAAAATGCACAGTGAAAGCAAAATGGAATTTTCAGTTCAGTTTTATCAATGCCTGAAAGATTTTCAGCATTTTCATTTTGCAGTTTATCTTGTTCCATTCATGTTGCAGGTCCACACAGCAAAAGATGTATCATTGAGTTTCCAGAAGAAATAATTTAAATTTTAATCAAAATAAACAATATTTTGATCATCAATGCAATAAAATAATTCTTTTAAAATGAAACTTTATTTCTAAATTATTAGTTAGCAAAAATTATCACAGTCAACTCCAGATTTACCTGGATGACAACTAACCACGGTTCATCGGAGGATATAATAAAAATATCAGGTGTGGACACTACATAATTTCTTTTTTTTTTAATGGCCGGGCGCTTTATTTAATAGCCATCAGCTTTGCGCCAGTACAAGGGCCAGAAGTGATGGCCCAAAACAAGCAAATCGTCCAACGGGTATAAAGACAAAATTTTTGGTGTACAAAATTGAAAGTTAACTTTCGGTGGCATAGGGCAAAAAGACACTGAATTTGATACAACAACTGCCTTAATTCTCTATTCTAATTAAGAGTTTTAAATGCAAACAAATGGATACGAGCAAGTTTCACTTAAAAAGTCATCCACTAAGGCATCCAATTTCTAAGGCAGATAGTTTTCTCTGCGATCTAAGCTAGGAATTGTCTTAAGCCACAGACATATTATTCTTACGTTTTTATTTGTTATTTCATATTTTCTAACATTAGTGTTATGCACGTTTTTGCTGTATTTTCAAAAGTATTACAAAATTTTAGACACCCTAAATAGAATTATGAATTATCATTATCGTAGTCATTTTATAGCTCAATTTATATGTAACGAAAAAAGTGTAGTGATTTATTTCCTTAAAAATGTAAAATTTAAACAATAGTACAGCAAATTAAAAATTCATATAATTTTACTGTAATATGGAAAAAACTGGTGAATTTTCAGCTTTAATAAGAATACAATACCAAAACAGAATTGAAATTTTTATTTCAAGTAAGAAATTCACAAGAAATGACGATAAAAAAATGTTTTACCTTCAGTTTATATAATACATATTCACAAAATATACAGTTTTGATCTCCTTAAGGTATAAAAATTTTATTATATGTATTATTCACAAAATATATTCAAATAAATTCATTTTATGATAATTTAATAAACA